GGTTTGGGGTTTAGGGATTGGGGTTGTCAACTGTGTGTTGTGTTCTGGGTTAAGGGTTCTTACTCCGTTATCTTGCCCTGAATACAAATCCTGTGCACGACTTTCCGAGTCCCGTGGCTGACATTCATCAAAAGCCTGCAAAGGTGGAATGAAGGCATGTAGACGAATCCCAAAGAAAGTACTTTCCTAAGTGCTCTACGTTGATCCCCTCGAAATCCAATACAGCCGTACCATCGAACAAACCCAGAAAAAGAAAAAAACCTTATTTACATCGCTATAATGCAACATCTGTCAAAGACCTTAAACTTACACGTTGTAAACTGTACACCGAACTATCTAGACTCCCTAAACCCCAATCCCTGCTCTTACTCCTCGAGGAGGCGGTACTGCTGATTCATGTTTCGACCCATCCTAAGGAGCGGGGGTTGCGCGGGGAGTTTAGGGGTTCAGGGCTGTAGAGGGGTTGACATATACATCGCTGAAGCAAGGCTGCTGGTTGTCTCCTCGGGTACCTCTACAGGGTTCTACAGGCCACAAGGGTTGCTACAGGGGCTTCTACAAGGGCTCTGAGTAGTTTTACTAGGCTGATACATGGAATAGGGTTTGGGGGGGGTATGTTGTAGCATAACTATATGAGAACAGAAAAGGAAGTCCGAAAAGAATCTCATTACCAAGTCGTCAGACCCCTGTTGGGGGATTTTTTGCGGAGGAGTTGCAGGCTTTCGGACCTCGACTTTGAGGGTTTGGGCATCTCTGTCCTTGTTTGCTTTCACGCTCTGAGGTTTAAGGTTTGGGGTCTAGATTTTCGAACTTAAAGACCTAAACCCTAAACCCTTCAGCTTAGGGTTTTTGTGGCCTAGAGCTGAGAGCTTTCGGGTGTAGCCTTGGGTATGTAGGGCTTGGGTTTGAGGGTGTGGGCTTTGGGGTTTCAGGGGTTCCGAGTCTATACAGTCACCTGGATGCATACGGTTCAAGGACTCAAGGATCTGGAGTTTAGGGTTAACTGAAAGGTTAGGGTTTAGGGTTTAAGATCTAGAGTTTAGGGTTAACTGAAAGGTAGGGGCCTTAATAGTTAGAAAAGGGCTTTGTGGTATAGCATACTACATTTATAATAAAGAACCCCCAAATTTAATAGTATAGGCAATTGTTTAGGCCCCTATATTAGGCTCTGTAAGGATTGCAAACCAGATTGGAACGGCTCAGGGATTCAGCTCCTAAGTGCTTCACGGACTGGAGCCGCGGGCCCAAACATTTTGGGACTAGGATTTGAGACTCTGCCTTGCGGTTTAGGGTTTAGTGCTCAAGGTTTGGGTGTGGAATCTCCCAACATCGGCTCGCAGATGTGGGAGACTCTAAAAGAACTTAACTTCTACCAGCAGGGTCCTACAAGAGATCTAATAAGAGATGTGAGTTGGGATGTAGCTACGGTACATATCAAAGCGAAAAGCAGCCGACGATGTCCAAAGATCCTTCCAATCAAAACCCCCAAGCTCCGAAACCACTAAGCGCTGAACCCTCAAGCCTAAACTTCGAATCAAATCCGAAACCCTAGATCCTAACAGCTAAACTAGACTACTTGGCTCTGTCTCTGTCTGAGTCGACCACACATCGCAGGAGTACGGATGCGGGCCACTCTGCGCGGCAGGATGGAAGTGGACAGGGCTGTGGTGTAGGGTTCAGGCGGATTCAATACACTGAAGAGGAAAGGGCAGGATGCCAGCACAAGGAGTGAGGCTCCAAGTGCTCGTAGCATCCCCCAACAGAACACCACACGTTTAGACTCAGAAGTTTCCCTAAGGAGCCCTACATACACTCAACCAAGCCCATACCGTAAGCCTCCCTTACACAAGTTCAAATAGTGGAGTTTAGTGTTTGGGGCTCAGGCTTTCAAGGCCCCCGGCTCAGTGGGATGTGGGTTTGGGGTTAAGCATAAGCAGTAGCGAGGGATTTCCCGACTACCGTTTAGGGCTTTCGGGTTTAAGGGTTTGGGATTATGGTTTTGGGTTTCGTTTACAAGCACCCTTACACCC